TCACTCTGTTACCTTGAACCTCCAAGCAGCAGGGATGGATCTTCTGGTCCAGAGAAACTCACTTTGTGGCCGCTCACCTCTTACTTTAGCGTTGCAATTGTTAACTGTTCTAGTAATCTTTAGGGCCCTGGAAATGGGCACAAGGGTGTTGTCACTCAATAACTAATGAACCTTTCAAAACCTCCTCAATTGATGTTGTTAAGTGAACCAAGCATTGCCATGTTTTTTGTTAAATAAGGGTGAAATAATAGTCCAGATTTATACGTTTTGCTTTGCTTTAATCAACAATTTGCGCAGGGGTACAGCAACAGGCACAATTTTATAATGGTTAATTTTCATGATTACACAGGATACACTTTCTTCACTAAAATAAGGTAATGGAATCTTCCTGATGACTTCTAATCCCCAAGAGCCCTTGGGGACTTTGTGAACACTACCTTCCCTCAGACCTTTCACACATCAAGCCAAAAGAGGTTCTCTCTCAACTCCCTCATGAACCAGAAGCACCTTCGAGCAAATCCCACTAGTACCCAGTTTAATACTCTTGAATTTATCCTGTATGCTAAATTTCTAATCTGATGAATTAATTTATTTAGACCAGAAGGACAGGGTAGTCCGCTTACCATGATTCTGAGGTGACTCTCAGAGAATCTTTGTGTCGGTAAACGGCATATTTCCCGTTTTCCAGGAGGGAAATACGGGTCTTACCCTAAACAGGAGCAGCTTATGCCAAATTGAAGAAATCAGAGCTTTGGATGTGCCCGGGCCAAGCTTTTCTTAGAAATAGGACTCCTCTCCGGTCTGCTGTGGCAAGTGAAGACTTAATTCCAATCCCATTTCGGTGAGAAGAGAAATAAAATCCCAGCCTTGTCCCAAACCGATAAAATCCAACTTCTTTTCGGGCGTCTCTGATCCTCTGACTTGCTTCCTGCTTGTAGTCCCTTCTGCTCAGCTCTTCAACTCAGCTTTGATGAAGTTTCATCAGTTCAGTCTGTATTTAAAGACCCCTTTTCCCTCCTCCTCTTAAGGAGGGGTTTTGGAAAATTATATCATCTTTTTTCCAGTAACTTGTCTGTTGTTTTGCACCTCAACCGGTTCAGACCAGTTTTCGGGTACTTTCCAGAACTTTGAGAAAAACAAGCTGGTTCCTGTTATTTGCTCAGAAGTGCATCACCACAAGATGAGTTGAAATGAACCCTATGACTTTTTGTTCTCTTTCTTTTGCTCAAAACATGTTCAGACTTGCCCTATGGTTACATTAGGCCTCTTTGCTCTTTTCTACTTCAACACTTTCCAAGTAAATCACACAATCATACAATGGATTATACAATTCTTAAAAATCAATACATTTCATTAGTTGATTACTTGTTGATTATTAGTAAAACAGTAAACCACTTTTGATTACACATTATTATATTTAGCTTGATTTAAAGCAGGAGTTCAGTCCTTCTGTTTTCAGCTGCTGAGGAGAACTTTGATCAGGCTTCACCTTCATTAAAGCTGGCTGTCTGTTATATCATCACTCCAGACACCTGTTATATCATCACTTCAGACACCAGGTTTATCGACACAACACAACATCAAAATATCACAACATCACAACATAACATCATAATACCACAACTAGGGCTGCAACTAACGATTATTTCAATAATCGATTCATCAGTCGATTATTTTTTCAATTAATCAATGAATCGGCAAAAAAAAAAAAGTCTTAGGTTGTTTTCACACCAGATACTTCGGTAGACTCGGTTCGGGACCAATATTCATGAGCTTTTGTTACAATTGAGCTGGTGCGTTTGCATTCACACTGCACTGTGCAGTCGAGTCAACCTGTTGAACCAACCTATTCCCCCGCTCGCCTGTGGGGGCGCTGCACCAAGAACTACTGAAAGAAACGACACAAAAACCTCTGAAGACACGTCTTCTTCTTCTTCTGTAAATAAAAATAAAAATGAAGTGGCATCAAGTTTTAGCAGTTTTAGGAGTTATATTTTGTCATTTTTCAACAATGGACTCAGCATGAGCAGAAGATGAGACAGAAGAACATGGAGAATATTGTTTTTCCACACAAGACAGCTGACGGCTCCATATAAGGCAAGAGAAATGCGTGTTTGTTTACCCTGCAGAGCGGGGCTCGGTCTGTTTACATTCACACTGTACTCGAACCGCGCTGGAGTTCTCTTCTACCGGACCGAGACCTAGGTTTTAGCCCGGGCCAGAGTTCACCTTTTTGTTCCGTGACAGAGTTCGATGGCGCGTTCACACCTCCCTAAACGAGCCAGACTTTCTAGGAAAACGAGCTAGAGTTTGATTAAAATGGACTAAACAGGGCTGGTGTGAATGCACCCTCAATTTCCACCCCTTTATTCCAAAAGTGAACATTTGACTGACATAGCAATTCACACAAAAAACAGGTTGCTATTTGACTATTCTGTTAGTAAAATATTGAATAATAAAAAATAAAAGTTAGTCAAATAGCTTAAAAAAAGTACTCAAAAATATATACAAATGTATCTTTATACCTGCACAGTATGTAGCTACTTTGTAAAATGTGTCATTGAGGGAAGAGTGTAACCTGGATTAAAAGTGTGGATTATTGTAACCTGGATTAAAAGTGTGGATTATTGTAACCTGGATTAAAAGTGTGGATTATTGTAACCTGGATTAAAAGTGTGGATTATTGTAGTGAAGCCTTCGTCTTCAACCATCAACAGAGGCCTCATGTCAGTGACGATCATGTTCAGGATGTTTCAGTGAAGACAGCTGCTGCTGTGGTGTCATGATGTC